AATCGTCAGCAAATCCTAATATATCAATTTGTATGGTGCCTATATTGGTTCCCAGGTTGTTATTTTTTACACTACGTATTATTTTCTCTAATGCTATGTTAAATAATAGTGGTGAAAGCGCGTCCCCTTGTTTCAACCCAGTTATGACTTCAAATTCTTCGGACAACGTTTGGTCTACTCTCACTTAATATTTCGTGTCATTCATGCACATCCTTGTTAGAGCGATAAGTTTCCTCGGGAAACCAAATTCTTGCATAATATTGTAAAGACTATCGCGGTGTATGCTATCGTACGCTTTTCTGAAGTCGACAAACACTTGCCAAATGTTTTGTCTAAACTCGTATTTTTTTTCTATTAATTGCCCCACTATTGTTAGCTGGTCAATTGTCGACTTATCCTTACGAAAGCCACTCTGGTATTTTCCAATGCATTTGTCGGCTATTGGTTCAAGGCGTTTTAGCAAAATCTTTGAGAATATTTTATATGCAGAGTTCAGTAAAGATATTCCTCTGTAATTGTTGCAATTGAGTTTGTCACCTTTTTTATATAGTGGGATTATTATGGCTTTTTTCCAATCATTTGCCAGCACTTCTGTTTTCCAAACTTTGTTACAGATTTCATGAATAATCTTATGTAATTCCTCGCCTCCGTACTTAATTAATTCTGCTGGTATCCCGTCAGATCCTGGAGATTTCCAATCTTTTAGACTATTGATGGCTCTTTTAGTTTCTTCTGTACAGCTGTATGACCAGTCCACTCCGGTATTGGTACCTCAGGTAGTTCACTGTTTAGTAATTCTTCAAAATATTCGCGCCATCTAGTTGTTTTCTCTTGGGGATCCATTAAGATTGTTTTATTATCCTTATCTCTAATAGCTTTCAAGCTTGGGTTAAATATCTTATATCTTTTGATCTTCTGGAAAAATTGTCTAATTTTTCCTTTTGAGTAATCTTGTTCAGTACTACGTAACACATCGTTCATATAAGTTCTTTTTTTCTTTTTGTATAATGCCTTTGCACTTTCTTCGCTCATGTTCAAAGGTTTCTTTTGCCTCTTGCGTTTGGAGACTGAGGTATTTTAATCTTGCTTCGTTTCGTTTTTTTACTGCGTTCTTACATGTATTATTATACCATGGTTTTCTTTGATTTTTTGTCTCTCCAATCGTGTTCTTGGCGGCTATTTTTATAGATTCTTGTACCATGATCCAGTTATCCGTGGCCTCATGTTGTCGTCTCTCTAATAACTCTTTTCCAACTGCTTGTATGTATTTTTCCCTTCCTTCATCGATTTTTAAGTTTTCTAAGTTGAATTTGGCTGCCGTCTTCCCAGCCGAGTAATTCTTCTTTAGTTTGAGTCTAAACCTAGAGACGACTATAAAGTGGTCCGTGTCGCTGTCTGCCCCTCGGTAGCTCCTCACATCCGCTATACTGGATCTAAATCTTGTATCTATAAGTACATGGTCTATTTGATTCGCCGTACGCCCATCAGGCGATTTCCAGGTGTATTTGTGAATGTCCTTATGCGGGAACGTTGTGCTACTGATAGTCATTTTCCTGGACATGGCGAAGTTGATTAGTCTCTGTCCATTGTTATTACTTATCTCATGTACACTATGCATTCCGATTGTGGGTCTAAATGATGGTTCCTTTCCCAATTTAACGTTACAATCACCCACTATGATTTTGATTGTATTTCCTGGTGCTTCATCATAAATTGTTGCTACCTCTTCAAAGAATTCATCCTTATCTATTTCATCTTTATTTTCAGTTGGTGCGTGTATATTAATGATAAACATATTCATGGGCTTTGTATTTAATTTTATTGTACACACGCGTTCAGATATCGGATTAAACTCTTTTACAGAGGATAGACAATTTTTATGAACAGTGAATCCTGTTCCAAACTGATATGTGTCGTTTAAGCCTTTATAATATATAACATAATCATTCATTCTCATTTGTCCAGTTCCTGTCCATCTTATTTCTTGTAGTGCTGCTACATCTATGTTGTAATCTTTTAATGTATTTACCAAGTTTTGACACGCTCCTGTTCTATATAAACTCAAAATGTTCCATGTCGCAATCTTAATCTCCTTGTGTTTCCATTTTCCGTTTCGGTTCGGTATTCCAGGTGATCCATTTGTTATCCGAGGCAGTGTTGGTGGTTTCTTAACAGTATGTTTTTACAATGCAGGGTTGTTGGCCCTACGATTAACCTTCCATACCCTGAAAGGGGGGGAGCTCGGGACCCCGGGTTCGCTAAGACCCGTAAACACGTTGGAACGTGTTTCCCTGAGGGATGTTTAATCATAATGTTATAAATATTTTATTTTTTAAAAACACTCCGTCGTCCACTGCTAAAATCCAAACTAAGCCTAAAAACAAAATTATTAATTTTCAAAACAATAATAAGACCCATCTGGTCTTATGGAATCCAAATTTGGGGACGGGCTAAACCTTCCAACATTCGTCCAATACAAGCTCATCAGAACATCAATCTTCGACTAATCACAGGCGCACCATGGTACATAAGTAATGCTTCGCTTTACAAAGACCTCAAAATAACAACCGTTAAAGAACTAGCTACCACTCACTACAAAAGATTCCATTCCAAACTCGACTCCCATAAAAATCCTCTTATAAAAAATATGTCCTCTCACGTTCTACCTGGAAACCCAAAACGACGTTTAAAAAGGAACTGGTCCCGTGACCTATTATAATAAATTGCCAAATTATAAATTATGAGGGTGTTGTCAATGGGTCTCTTCCCCAATCATACTATTCATGCCATTGTTATTCATAATATTTATCATATTTACTTATTGTTTTTGTTTTTATGTACAGATTGTAAATTTCTTTTTAAAAAAAAAAAAACACCGAAAGAGTGAAATGATCAAAGGAGAATCGAATTAGTTTGTATATAATAAATAATTTGCGTGAGAGTTATAAAAAGTCTCAAATGTTGAATAAGTTATCAAATGTATGTTTTTCTTGCATTTTAATTAAAACTATTAAACCATAGCCACTTGATCTTGAAGTTGATAGTACTTTGCTTTTATTATTTTCATTTATTTTTATTTTACGTAGTTGGTAATAAGACTTTTTCGAAAATTAAAAGATAAACATAAACACATGAAATAAAAATTCATTATAAATCAATTAACTTTATAGCATTACATTTTAAACTTAAAACTAAAACTTTTAATAAATAAGAATAAGGATAATTATCATGAATGAAATAGTTTTATACATACAACTAGGTGTTTACAACATTTCTAAATAAATTGACGAAATAATCGTGCATCAACTTTTATGTTAACAGTTGTAACGAGACATCATCACACGTTGTTCCTGTATTTACGTATATGCCACTATCGCCCTCGCGGTGTGAGAACCAGCTGAAAAGACTGTTGCTATCGGCATTCGTCGAACCAGGTAGCGCGCGATTAGCTGACCGTTTCGAACCCGCATATCACGTACACAGTTTCAATGATATTATTGCACACTTTCGTTGCGAGCGTATGGGATTATTACGTATATAATAGCCCCGAAATCTGCCGTAAAATCAACATTCCCCTCCCCCCCCGTACCTGGGTGTGCTATCGATTAGATATACGGATACGATCGATACCAATAAATCACGTATAATACGTATATATAGTTACACCGGGTACTTCCCCCATCCCGTACACGTTGGCAGAGAGGCAGCAGTTCAACAGTCACCCGTACAGCCGAAGAGCCTAGGAGCCGTCACCACCGAAAGTGTGAGCCGTCGCCGTCCGAGCTTGAACGTGCCACCACCAGTCCAGTGTCCGCCCAGAGCACGTCGAGCGCCTTACCCAACGCTGCTGCTCGCATCAGACCTCCACGTCCATCAACCGTGCGATACAGAATCATCCTTCCCTCTCCAACCGTGTGTTAGTAAGTGCTAGGAGTCATTCGACGCTGCCATAGGCTACGTTGCTAAAACAGCGTAGCATACTTTGGTCAGCACGTTGGCCTTACTGTGTAAATTTCCTAATACGAACACTAACATCTCGGCATTGTGAGTAATACCCCGTATTATATAAATGTCGTGAAGATATATAAAATCGACAACGAGTATTATTATGTATGTATAAATTGTACACCTGATTGAAATATTATAAAACAATAATAATTGTTATCGTCATTATTATTATTATTTTTATATAAATAAAAGTTAACAAAATAAAAAAGCTTTACGGACTTCACGTTTTGTTACACAGTTATCTATAGATATTATTTATTCTGTAATGAACACGTGTTTTGTCCGGAAATGTTGATATGTGCATAATTTATCACACAGAGAACTGATTAGATGCACGCGTTAGTGACGAAGATCTGTTAATTATAGCAGATATATTTCAGCCATATAAAAATTTAAGCACGCAAGAGAAGATAATATTTTATTTCTTACCGTTTATGGGATGGGAGCATTTGGCATAACCATATACAGTGAAACTTCCATTTAACGAAATTTTTAACAAAAACTGGTTTTTGTCACTATCAAATTTTAAACATAGTTCACTGCGATAGCGTTACTTTACAAGATTATTTGAAAATTGATGAAGATATTGCCGTATATGAATCGCCTAATGAAGAAAGTATTCTAGGAGAGGTTAGAAAAAAAGAAAATCCTGGTGAATTTGAAGAAGACGAAGAGGAATATGCAGAAGAACAATCCAAACTAACAGAAGAAGACATATTAAAAGCTTTATCTGTGGTAAGAAATGATAAATTAAATTAAAAAAAAAAAAGGTGGAAAAAAATACGTAATTCTATTTAATGAATTCCTCCATATTACGAATTTTTTTTGTGGCTTATTTGACTTCGTTATATGGAAGTTTCACTGTAATTGAAAATAGTGCACCATTTTTTAGTGACGTCACGAAAAAAAAGAGCCCTTAAATTTTTAATATACTTATATATTTGTATTGAATATATTATATTCATAGAAATTAAATTTATGTTTTACAGATTACGAGTATGTTTATTCATCAATATTTTTTAAAACATTATTGAGAAATCATTTGTCTAGATGTGTTACTACATGTCCATTCTCTATTGGAGTAAAATATAAATATTGCTTCTTCTACCAAAACGTGTGCGTTTTCTTAGAAATAACTATTGGTGTGAGGTATTAATGAATTAATTCAAGGAATCTAGAATCATAATACATTATGGATGTAATCATATACGTTCAATAAAATATGTAATGTAATAAAATTATGTTATATATACTCAACTGATATCATAATTTAATTTTTATTTCATTTTATTTAGACTGTAATTTGCCAATACTGAAAATATCGAATAGCACAAACGAATAGTCTGTAAATCAAACATAATATAACTATGTAGTATTAATAAATAATCAACAATTAATATTATTATTTATCTAAATCGGATGATCTGTAATCAAAGTATAATATTATTATAAATATGATCCAGTATTAATAAATAACAAACAATGAACGAATGTTATTATTTATCTACCACGATTTTAATCGTTAGCCATCAACATTTAATATTCGTTTAACGGTACTGCAACATTCTTAATCCATTTACCAATATGTTTGGATCAGCAATTAAAATATATCAATTGTCATTTATTTTTTATATTAAAACTAAAAGTTACTAAATCAGACTTCAAATAGTGAGAGTAAATGGTACAGATTTACAAAATATTTTTATAATATTATGGCACACCTTAGCTTAAAATATGTAATTTTCATAAATATAACATTTATCAGAATACGTACATTACAGAACATTTCCAAATTGACAATCCTGGTCTGGGTAAACTTTAATTTGAGATCATTGGCATTATTTAGTTTCATTGCAAACAAAATCAACTTTTTAGATTTTTTGTCCATATCTGTCCAATTACTGCTATACAACATAAAAGTAATCGAATCTTTCTAAAAATTATAAATATATTTAGTCGTATTAAATGTACCCTACAAAAATAACTTTTAGATTATTTATAATAGATTGTTGTAGCTAAACAATATATTCAAGACTATTTACTGTAGCTAATGTAATGATTCTATTTTTAATACTTAAATTAATCTAATATACTATTATTGTCTATTTTGAAAAAGAAGAATCTTGATATTTGAACTGAAATTATCTGTAAAATCAGTATCGACTGAATAGAAAAAACATATATATATATATATATATATGTATAGTTACTTTTTTATTAAGATTTCCGATTATAAAACACTTTATAAATAGTTGAATTGTGAAAGTTGGAAGTACAATAAGCACTTTTGTTACAATTAAGGAATCTTCAGTATTTCCTTTAATAAAACACTATAAATATAAAAAAATATATTTGTTAATACTTTGCTACAATCCAATATTAGTATGACTTAGAAATACTAATTCCATTGCAATTAAACTGATAAATTAATATAATAATTATTATATTTTATTACATTTCATTCTACCTGCTAAATCTGTAGCTGAAGTGTGTGATATTGAAGAAAAATTGCAATTGTCTGCTTCACGACAACTAATGGTATTAATTAATTTACTCACCCAATTATTAATAAACTACCATAATAAAACAGTAATTCAAATTTAATTTTAATTTTAGATCGGTAGATTACAGCAATGTGGGGGAAGATCGCAAAATGACACTACTACATTAATAAAAATTCTCATCGCTGATGGGAGTAGGATGAAATGGCCGGTTCTGCCCCCACCGTAAAACCACCACACCAACGCCCACCGTAGATGACCTTACCGATAATATTTGACCCCAATTAATCATAATTAACCTTTGATCCTAGCCTAATTGACACTAATTGGTCAATTAAAAGGGTTAATTGACCAATTAGTTCTCAATTAAGTACATAAACTATGATCTTTAACGGATTAATTGAACAATTAGTTTCAATCAAGTACTTGACCTATGATCTTTGACGGGGTAATTGGTCAATTAGTGTAAATTAACTACTTAACCTGTGATCTTCAACGGGGTGGTTGATCAATTAGCGTCAATTAAGCGCTTAACCTATGATCTTAAATGATTTACCGATCGATTACGGGAAATCGGCGGCGGCGGGTTTAACCCTTTCGCCCTCGGCCACGACCACACTTCACCACCCGATTCCCCAGTCCGCCGCCGCAACCGCCATAGAGGCCGCCACTTCACCCGCGGACTTCCCCTCCGCCGTCGTAATCGCCTAAACTATCACCACTTCACGAGCGCGCTTCCCCGTCCGCCGCCACCGCCGCGATCCTTGGTTGCCCCGTCACCGATCCGCTCGGTCCGGGGTCCGGGTCCCGCCTCGCCCGGCTCAGTCGCGTCATCGCTGATAACGGCTCGATTTTTTCACCGTTATCATCGATTTTACCGCGCTCTTTATTCTATCATCGCAGACGCCATTACCACGCGATTACGTGTAATAAATGATAACCGCGCGCGCGCACGCTGACGCGTTTTGATAACGTTATAATTATATAACTATTTTAAGTAAAATATAAATATATTCTATATTATAATAAGTAGCACTACGTGTTAAACATTAAGCCGCCGCCGCCGTCGCTGTAGTCTTTTTCATATTAATCTTTTATTTAAATAATATATATAATATAATGACCACCAACAGCACATATGCGTGTTAGATATAAACTCGAGGCTGTTGCTAAAGTCTTTTAGAGATAAACATTGCAACACGTGTTGGAGATATACATATATATATATATATACCATCATCTGATCTTCAAGATCCCGGATTGTCGATGAAATCACGGGTAAATGGTATCATGTATTGTATAATAATAAATGTGTTATGCGCGTCACTCCGTAACGCCGAACGGTCAGTCTTCGCCCCGAAGTCAACAGTGATCGTATCATTCTGTGCTACCGTTTCATTTCAGTGAATTTATTTATCTTTTTTTGAAATGTTTTTCAAATGCGTTTCGTGCAATAAAACTTATGCGAGCAAAAGCAGCTTAACACGCCACCAGAAGACGCATGACGGAGCTGTTTTTAAATGCGATGTATGTTCCAAAATATACCAACGTCGCGATTATTTGGTAAAACACGTACAGATCGTTCACAGTGAGTACATTTTATTTTTGTTTTAATCCCCGTCCCTCCCGTCATTTATAAATTTTCATTTTAATAGAATTTAAAAAATATGGGGATCTGTACAACGCAGCGATGGGGATAGCCGTACCGGTGATGGGAGAAGGTAATTTTATTTTTCCCTACTTAAAATATGTAATATTAATGTTAAAATTCTGAAAATAGTGCCGACAGCTGCACTATTACCACCATCACCCACCGCTTCACCAACGTATAACTCGCTATCAGCACCCCTCGCCATCACATCCACCGACACCGCCACCTTCGCCACTATAGCTATCTCCGCGCCTGTACCGCGTAAACGTTTTAACGATAATTCGGCTGTTAGCGTTAGACGTAAGAAAAATCGTATGACGTCGGTGAACACGGACGCTCTTGTCAAGATCGATTCGTCTTTTAATCGATCTGTCGTATGGTATTACAGAAAAAATGCCAGCAACTGTAGTAGTTATGACGTTTTTCTGCGGTCGAGCTGATCGTGAGATTACGCGAATGCGTGCTTGTTCACCCTATTAAATACCATCTCAAACTGGAGGCCACTTACGATATCCCCAAACTAGATCAGTTGCTCGTCAACAGGTATTTTAAGACATGTGCCCGAGAGCTGTACGAGTTCGGGGATATCGACGATAAGGTAATGTGATTGATAAGCGCATGTGATTGTTGAGTGCTTTAAATGCATGCTTCTTTCTGTCCACATTTGTGTCTACGCCAGCAGTCGTTTTTCACCGTGCGGTATAGTTAAAACTAAAAGTATGTCAGATTCAAATTTACTTTTAGGTATTTCTGCAGCGTACTATATTATCGCGAATGCGAAAAAAAAACGTGAGAAAAAGCGTTCCAAATGGATAAAAAATTATTTTAAAACAAGAAACTTCAGTATTATTAACGATTTGCAATTGGACGAAGACTTCCTGTTTGGAAACTTTACGCGAATGTCCAAAACAAATTTTTTTTTCGTTATTAAAAATGATCGAGCCCGAAATTGTAAAACAGAATACCAAATTTAGAGAGGCAGTACCGCCTAACATAAAATTGTTAATAACACTTCGGTATTTAGCTACTGGTGATTCATTTTCATATCTTATGTACCTATTTAGAGTTTCCACACACTCAATATAAACGAAAAAATCAAAATGATATAAATCAAAATACTGAAATAAAAAAATAATTACAAAAGTCGCAATCAAATCGCACGAAAAATCCACTGGGCTTGGAAACACGTGCTTTGTCGCATGCTGAACAAAACTTTTCTCCGTTCAACTCGATAGACGCATGCGTTATTGAATGCGCTTCGTTCGTCATCGCATGCTCTACGACGCATGCACTTATCGCAAGCAAAAACGCACTAGTGTGGACGTACCTATATGGTGACGTCCGATTTTTCCATACTTCTCGCCGAGGAGGACGTTTACCGCGGTAAAGGCAGTGGATACACACTCGCGTGCATAGACGGGCTGCTTTTAGGCGTGTACAAGTACACGCCGCTAGGCGGCTCGTCTTACGTTCCGTTACCGGCGCGCGTAGCTAATCGTAAGGCTGTCGTAAGCTCGCAAAACGTTGATCGCGAATGTTTCAAGTGGGCCATTCTGGCGAAACACGTGCAGAACACCGCGCACTGCGAACGAGTCGGAGCGAATTATTCGAGCGAGGTGTACCGGTACGACTTTTCCGCGTTATCCGTCTCCACCCCCGTATCGGAAATAAAAATGATTGAGCGCTGTAACTCCGGTACGTCCGTAAACGTGTACGGTTTGGGAAATTGCGGCAATGAGAAAATTTCACCTCATATCGTATACCCTCTGAGGGTCGTGGATACGGAGCAGGACAATCATTTCGACCTACTGCTGATCACGCACGAGGGGGATAACCATTATACGTTTATCTCGAATTTTTCCCGACTCGTTAGCACGCAGATGACCATGCGAGAACATAACGTTTTCGTGTGCAAAAAGTGTTTCACCCGTTTCGACGAGCACCTACGCGCTATAAGTGTAGCGGTGCGGCGGCGCTCGCAAAGCACATGAAAATATGTGGCCCGCACAAACCGATAGTACCCTTAATGCTGTCGGAGGGGGTTACGGTACGATTTGACGCGTGGGTTAAAACGCAACGCTTACCGTTCGTCATATACGCCGACTTCGAATCGTATCTCCGTAAGTCGACCGAGACGCGAGGCGCTAACACATCTGTCTCGCAAGACCACTGCCTCATGAGCTACGGTTTTCTGGTAAAGGTCGCGGACGGTGTGCCCGCGGAATTGCTCGAATGGTTCGAGATTCCGAGCGCACCGGTCATGGTTCGCGGATCGGCTGCGCGAGACGACGTGGCGCGGCAATTCGTCCTGGCGGTCACCTAGATGCCGGGTAAATTGTACGAAATGTATATGACGACAATCACGGGTATCGTGTGTAGCGTTGGCGAGGAGGAACTCGCAGTGCACGTGGCAAAAACGCGTTGCGATCTGTGTCGCACGGAGTTCCGCGAAGAAAACCGCAAAGTCGCTCACCACGATCACCTGTCGGGGCGTTTTTTGAAAACATTGTGCAACACGTGCAATTTAAATCTAAAAACGCCCAATTTTGTGCCATGCTTTTGGCACAATTTATCAAAATATGACGCTCATTTTATCGTGACTGAGTTGGAGTACAATACCAAGAGGATCACCGTGATACCCAACTCGGAGGAGACGTACATCTCTTCCTCGAAGTCCATCAACAAAGAGTTCACGATAAGGTTTGTCGATACCTGTCGTTTTAGCGTCGAAACTCTCCGCCCTGGCAGCGAAATCACGAATGTATTCGCGCCGAACGATATGCTTCTCGTGATACGCAAAGGTGTATTTCCTTACGAGTACACCGACCGCTGGGACAGGTTGGCCGAGACGAGTCTGCCGGAGCGCTCCGAGTTTTTTAGCACGCTAACGGAGGAGCACGTAGCGATCGCGGAACACAAGCACGCGATTCGGGTATGGGATCACTTCGATTGCCGAACTCTAGGCGATTACAGTGATCTATACCTGAAAATAGACGTGCTGCTTCTGGCCGACGTGTTCGAAAACTTCAGAGACATATGCATGCAAACATATAACCTAGACCCGGCTTGTTATTACACGGCTCCCGGGTTTAGTTTCGACTGCTGCTCGGAGACTACGATATGCTGCTAAAGGTAGAGCAGGGTATACGTGGCGGATTGGTACGGGCCAGCACGCGTTACGCAGAGATCGCCGGGTTCGACAACACGTAACCCACCACATGGCTGGTCTACCAAGACTATAATTATCAATATCATATATATTGCAATATGGCTTGCACAGTATATTTGAGTGGAAACCAATTTTTAGACTCTTTCCATTAAATAAATATATCATATTTTAACATTTATTAAAAAAAATACCAAATTTAAAACGTTCTAATGAGAGAATAAAAACAAATAATTACCTGCCCTTCATTAATAAATATTACCTATGTATGTATACATTACGCGATATGCGTGTTTAGGTGTACAGCAGATGTAAAACATGTATAAACATTGCAATCAGATAAATAATTTCTAATGTCAAAACGATAACATTACAATAAATAAAAATCTGATTATACTAGTTCATTTTAAAATTGTTAACTCGGAGTGTATACATATTAGTTTATAGAAGACATTGAATAGATTTACAATAGTCTGGTTTTATACGTATTTCATCTAATAAATTAAAATGAATGCTGTACAATTTGCTATTATTAGAACATTAATCCTTGTTTTATTTTTAACATCAACTTGCCTTTCAGATGAAACATCACAACAAAAAGGTCAATCTTTAATTTAAGTAGATTTGAGATAAAAATACGTTTTTCCAAATTTAAATGTTTATAATAATGTATGCTTTTAGTTTTCGAGACAATGTTTAACTAAAACTATTTCTGCTAATTATAAGAATTTATAATAAAGTCTTATTAAATCAAGCCACGGAACTTAAAATCATTATAAACTTAATTAAATTAGTTTTTATTTTTATAGGTCCTGGAATATCGGCGTGTAATTTTTATGGTTCAAGCAATGGATCAATATTATCAGTTAATGACCTACCAGAAGCGTGCACATCTCTTTTTTGGGACGGGTTGTTAATAGATGTAAGGAACAATGTTGATTATGGATACGACAATAAAACAAAGGGTAATTAAACGTACAAACATTGATTAATATACTGAATATATTTAATCAATGGTACAAATGATAATGGCTCGGTAGAAATGATTGATCAATTTTTACTGTTAACATTCAAGAGATTCTGTAGGAACTAATCATAATTTTTAATACAAATAGTTTTAAATTTTTATAATATCATTTTTTTTTTTATTTTACATAGGAAAAGAATTGGATCTAGTTTTAAAAAGTAGTAAACCCGTGTACGTGTATTATGGTTATTTTAATATAGAAGTTTGGACTTACGCTCTCGGGTGTGGCGATTGTGATGGAGATGCATCCATTCGTGAGTCAATGAAAGGGTTAACGGCTTATATGAAAGCTCATCCGGGAATCAAAGGAATAATTTTTACTCGTCTTCAGTTTGATGTAAGTTTCTATTTGTAATAATTTATACGTGTACTATTATAATATTATAATAGTATTTTTATTTTTATATTTTTAAAATTAAACAGTCTGTAAATCATTTTTAAAGAATAAGCCCTACTGAATGTTAAAATGTAAAGACGTTTACTAATATAAATACATTTATTGAAGTGGTCTATCAAAGGAATTAACGTTCCTCTTATCGTATTTAAATATATAACACATATTATTTAGATATCGATATAAATCCGTTTTGAAATACCTAAATAACATTGCTAAGTTGATTATTAAACAAAAAAACGTATTGCATATTGTTTATTTCAGGGGTCTCCAAACTTTTTTATTGAAGGGCCACAAAAAAATATCAAATGCTCTTAGCGGGCCAAAAGTTTATTAACACATACAATTTTTAATTTTATGAAAATATAGGTATACAAATATAAGTTAACTTTAAATCTTTTTATAAAATATTGTCTACAATATACTTAAATATAATTGGTATAAATTTAAATGATAATAATATATACATTGTAATTTTAATAATTCTACGGGTAACTGTGTTAGCAGAAAGGCTACTATTTTTAAAAGTATCAATTCTTTCTGGACAAATTTCTTCAACTGCTTGAATTATACATTTTTTTATTAAACTACCATCAGAAAACGCTTTTCCTCTTTTTGCCAATATATGTGAAATACGGAAACTAGCATTTGTAGCAGCTTCATTAATATTTTTTTGTTTTTTAAATAATATTATTAAAAAATTATTTTGAAGTGACTGCAATTTATCTAACCGTAATTTCTCAGTAAATTTTGAAAAAGTTGTCTTATGTTTTGTTTCATAATGCCTTCAAATATTGTACTCCTTAAGTACAGAAATACTTTCTTTGCATATTAAACAAATTATTTTGTTACCTGAATAAATTACGAAATAATCCAACGACCACTTTTCATTGAAAACACGACATTCTGAATCTATTTTCCTTTTCAATCCTCTTCCTGACATGTCGAATTGGTGAATTAATAGGTAAAGAATAATATTCATAATAAAGGCACTGCAAACTTAGACATGTTACTGTACAAACGTTATGAAATGATTTCATCGTACCGCTCGTCTATGTGACTAATCTCTCCATTATCGACGTTAAAACTAAAAATATAAAAGGAAATTGCAATGTCTGTCGTCATAAATTATGATACGTGCCCGCGATAACGACTTTTTAAATTACACATATATTTAGATATCTATATTTTATTTACCGTCTTATGGGTGCTGCGGGCCGTTTAAAACTTGTTCGCGGGCCGTAGTTTGGAGATCCCTGGTTTATTTCATAAAATCATTGACTAATACTTGATAAATGTTAGGTATCAAGTTGTGAATGATTGAAACAGATTAGTCTTACGGATTACAGAGTCAATTAATATTAAGTATCCATCAGTAACAGAAACACAATAACATTTATCAAATGACAAGTTAATTTGTTTCCGAAATTGTGATTTCGATTTAAAACAAATATCAACTAAGTATATTTGATTACGGTTTATACAAAAATGTAATCTCTTTTTCAAATTCATGCAAATAATTTAATAAAATTTAAATGAATAGTTTTTAGTTTTCATTTACATACAAGTATATCTGTAACATAATACCATTGATAATAGATAGTTATATTATATCCATAATCAATGATAATACTATCGAAAGAAAAATAAACTTATTTCTTGATGACTAATGGCGAAAAACTATTAATTACTGATTTTAATTTAACTTTAATGAACATAAGACATTTTTTTTGTAGGACGATTCAGAAGCAATCCCAGAATTTACTGAAAAACTAATGGCATACATTAAAATAATGAGGGAAACGTTTCCGGACTTGGAAATTGGCATAAGCCTTATGGGAAATACCCTAATGGACTACTATGCAAAACCGAAATTTGAATGTGAGAGTTGAATTATCATTTATTTACGCGTTCTAAAATACGTTGAAGAACAACATGCTTCTATATAATGTATTATTTAATTAATGATCGGCTTACACGTATTATACAATAATTTGTATAATGATTCTCATTTAACAGAAAATTAATTTTTTTTATTTCGTTTAATTTTTTAAGGGTTGGACATCAAAGTTTTAAGTACAGTAGTGGATTTATATGTAATTAGTATACTCCGTTTCAATAAATGTTCACTTGACTCGAGAATCGACAGCATTACTCCAGTAGATGGATGTGGAAAATACACATTGGTATTTAAATATATATTATATATTTACTATGATCTACTATGATCTATGATACATATCTACTATGATTTGTAATAAACTAGTGTAAACAGTGGATTAAATATTTAAATGCATTGATTTTTTCTAGACTAAACTACATCAAGTATTAGAGAAAAATTGCTTTCCACAAGAAAAATTGTATTTCTCTATTAATTTATATCCCACAAATAAGGAATCAATTTTTAAGGCATGGAGTTCAACATATCAAAAGGTTATAACGTATAATTCTATATTGCTTAACCTTCACCTATTTTGAAAGTGCTACACACGAACTATATACATTTAACAATAGCATTTATTAAAATACTTTTGTTTATAACACAGAGAATTATAGATATCGTAATTCTTATGTTCCTCTTAAATCTATAGATTTTCATATCTTCTTGTTTTCATAGCTTATAAGTTATAATTATAACCAGGGTTCGGGACTTATAGCACTAAAAAGCACTAAAATATGCGCTTATATATGACCCAATAAACTTAAAAATATGCTCTAAAAAAGAAAAAAATAACACTTAAAAAGTCATTAAAAAAAGGATTTATTTCATACAAGTATAAAAAAAATTGTAATTCAAGTATAATTATAAATTAATAAATTTAAAAACATTAAAATAAAATCTTTAAAAATTTGGTTTTGAATGTTCTAAAAAAAAAA